TTTTTATCTTTTTTTCTCTTAATTTTTGAAAATAAGATGAATAAACAATAATCCCTTCTTAATATTAGAGACTATCAAATAATTTTGTGTTTTATACTCTGATCAGTTCAGACTATTCTCATTTTAAAAATGGAATAAAAGTACATAAAAAAAAAAAAAACCAAGATCGCTGCGCCAGTCTATAAATTTTTTTTTTTTTTTCGTTTTTTATTTATCCCTTTTTTGGAATGAATTTGAATTTGTCTCCATCTAGTTGAACTTTCGCAAATTTACCCAAAAATAAACATATATATATATAGGGCCTTGGTAAGGTGAAGAAAATTAACAAGAGCTACACTCGATATAAAGGGGGAATTTTGTAAAAGCTCTTATAACCAAAATCCATTTTCATATTCACTCATACAATAATTTGGCTGATTGAGTTCTCACTGATTTGCTTTCATTTTTCAGGACTTTCTCCACGACCTTCTCATTTTGCGCAATAGCTTTTGCCACTGATTTCATCTTCCGGACATTTTTGGATCTCTTCATTGGTCTTCCTTTCATTTTTCTGTGTAAAGAGAAGTTCATAAGTTAGGAGTTGAAGCGGAATCCAGAGATGATGTGTCCAGCAGTAAAATAGAATGTAGATTACAGCAAATTAGGGTGGTGAAGGGCAAAATAGAAATGTGCCCAGCAGTTAAAAAAAAAAAAAAGAAAAAGAAAAGAAGAACACAACAGAAAGTATATAAAATAGTCTAATTAAACAAAGTCAATTAAAAGTGAGGTTTTTTATCAAGATTCTTGTCATCAGTCTTTTCAAGTTATCTTCAATTCAAATGCAAACATGAAGATTTTACATATGGGTCAAAGATCTTTTCCAAAATCAAAATGTCTCTATACTAGGCAGCCATCAGCTATGCCATAAGAACTTAATAACTTCCAAGAGTGAAGAATGTTTAGAGTTATGATTTATTAGTGAAACGAAACAAGGAAAAGAGATATAACTAAAACCCCAAAATACAAGTACAGAGCTGAGCTTAAGACCCAAGTACTTAGATAAGAAAAGAGGCATACTCTGAACTATACCATAAGGAACAAAAGACATTTACAACACTCTTTTCAAATGGACAAGTTCACCTAAGAATTGTAAATCACTTTCCTATGACTTAAACCTCTCTCTCAACAGTATACACCCAGAACAGACACTCTATAGCAGTGTGCTTATTTCAAAAGCCCCAATGTACGGTGGCAATACCCTACATTTAATACTTCCATTTCCATTCAGTCTTCTCTTACCAGTTACCACTCCTAGCCTAAAGGAAAACCTCAATAGTTTTGTAACCTTAATACTTCCATTCCACCATCCCTGACACTTGAGTTCCATGAATCCACCTGTTCTTAATGCTTATCCCCCCCTCCTCATAATAACCAATCCTATCATACTAAATAAATCAAAGATAGGATACCAATTGAAATTCCTGAATGAGAAATCTAGCCTAGTCCTGAACTTCTTGTTCAATGATACATAATTCCAACAAAGTACCAATTCAACTAGATTTAATCAGGAAACCCTTGAAAATTAATCATTTTTCATACGTTAATTAAATGATAAAATTATTTTATAAGAAATTGAACGCTTGCCTGTTGACAGCACCAGAAGCTGGCTTCGGAGCTCCAGACTCTGACATATCCATTGCTGTATGAGAACCAGAGTTACAAAGGAATATTACAACTCAGATACAAAACAATCACATCGAAGCTGAATTAGAAATTCAATCTTTCGGTTTCCTTGACTTTCTCAGAAACCAAACGGACGACAAGATAGAGGTAAGCAACGTATACCTTGAGGAAGTTCTGAAGCAGCGTTTTCGGAGATGTCCATAGCCTTGGCGCCGTTCCGCTTCTTCTTGTTTCTGTTTTTCGCCATGGAGTGAGCTCGGAGATGAGATCCAAGAATACCGGCGAAAGGAAAACCCAAACCCTAGTTTAACAGTTTTTCACCCTTCAGATGGAGTAATAGCGGGAGGTCACCGCCTTCTTGGAATGGACAATCTAGCCCATCTTCTGTGAATCCATGAATTCTTTTGGGCTACTCGGCCCATATATTTATTTATTTATTATTCATTTAATAATGAAATATACAATAAGTTACTATGAGATTAATATTTATCAACTGAATTTTTAAAGAATTAAGTAAAAAAATATTTTAAAATTACATTATTTTAATAAAATATTATAAAAAAATTAAAATATTCTTATTCATATTTTAAAATATTTAGATATTTTAATTTTTTTTAATAAAATTTTATAAAATTATGTAACTTTAAAATACTTTTTTATTTAATTTTTTACAATACAAGTTAATACCCGATTTTCTAATAAGTCATAGAATAAGAGTTTTTGTCATACATCTTAAAATTTGAATTATTGAAACATTTCCTAAAAGATTATTTATATATTTATAAATATGAAAGATATTTCCATTTCTTTTTTTTAATAATTCATTTCTTTACTTTTCTCTTTATGTAATTCCAGCAAAAATATTGAAGTTGTGGATTCATGATAAAGGATTTGCCCACCTTGTTAATATCTTATGATGAAAGAATTTTTTGTAAAATTTCTCATCAGAACATTTCTAATTAAGGATGGCAATTTCCTTCAAGAGTCACGAAACTCTGTGGAGATCTTTATTGTAAGGATAAAAATTCTAAGAATATTCGTTCTTGCAAAGCAAAGATGAAGGTATTTTTTTCTCATGAAATTTTATAGACGTGGAAACCTTTGGGAATCCATATATAATAAAAAAAATATAAATTTATTTTTATATATATTTTTGTAAATATATTACTAATTAGTTTTACTTACCCAATCTAATTGGCTAACTCAACTTAATTTAAATTGCCTAACCTAATTCCTTTTCTAATCTAATCTTCTCAAACCCAATTCAATAACCCAATTCCACTTGGATATGTATGGTAATTCATGCATTTTTCTTTTGTGAATTTACTGTTAAACTTGTTGGACGTATATGGCAATGTGTGTTTGTTGCAATTGGTTACTAAATATTGTTTTGCTGTAGTATATGTTAATGCATTTATTTGTTTAAATTGTTTGAATTTTTACTTTTTTATTTATCAAGAAAAAAATAAGATTAAATTATATATATTTAATATTTAACAGGTACTCTTAATACCTATGAAGATTTATTATTCCCCATGGATATTGGATAGAGGTCATTTTTGACCTTTCATTAAAAATTCTCATGAGAATTCTCATGAGAATTCTTATATTCACCATTAACAAGATGAAAATGAAAAAGGGATCCTTGTTGTTGTAGGTCTTGTTGCCATCTCTATTTCTAATATGAGTTACTGCTATGGTATGGTCTTAATTGAAGTCACGATGGAATTATTTCCATTATGAATTGTTGAACATTTCTCATCATTTAAAAACATCTTGCTTTTAGTTTTGGTTAAAACCCCTTTTTGGTCCCTCAACTATTATACGGACGCCAGATTTAGTTCTTGAACTCAAAAAATCCCTGATTTGGTCCTTACTGTTTACTATTTTTACCCCAATTTGGTCTTTCTGTTAAACACCTCTCCACCTGTACTGTTAATTCACAGTAAGATGATGACATGTCAAAATTTTACTCCACGTGAAAGACAACATGGCAAAAACTAGTGATATGGCAATAAAAATTTTAAAAATTATTTCTCCTTCCTGGTCCCCTTTCTCCTTCCTCTTCATTTCCTGGACCCAGAGCCTGGGATTGTCGAACCCAGGCGATGGGATCCTTCAAACCCAGTTCCTCGTTCCCTTTCTCCTTCCTCTTCCTTTCCTTCTTCATCAATCAATTCATCATCATCATCAAACAAAACCCACAAAAACTTCATCAATCAATTCATCATCAACATCAAACAACACCCACAAAAATAAAGAAATTATTTATTTATTTCTTTGTTGAAGAAACTAGAGCCTGGGTTCCTTCAAAGAATCCAAGCGCGGGTTCGAAGAACCCAAGCTTGTGAACCAAGCAGCCTAGGGTGTGAATGGGAAGAAGGAGAGAAGATAGTGATTTTTGCAGGAGGTGGGCCCCACATCTTTTTTTGGCTGAAATTTGACGTGTTTTAATGACATGGTATTGATCTGTAATAATATTTTGACATGTCATCATTTTCCGTTAGTTAACTGGACACATCATTGAATTTTTAACGGAAGGACCAAATCGGGGTAAAAATGGTAAACAGTAGGGACCAAATCAGGGATTTTTTGAGTTCAAGGACCAAATCAGGGGTCCGTACAATAGTTGAGGGACCAAAAAGGGGTTTTAACCTTTAGTTTTCATATTCATGTACAAAAATATCAATATGGCTTCAGGTTCCCAGTGCTCGTCTAAAAAGTTTAAAAATATCATCCAATTTCCAAGGATGGGCCGTCAGCTTTAACGAAACGGGGCCCAGAAACTGTGTCCATTCATTTTTCAGTTTCTCAAACACTGTGTCCATTGACACTGTCTGAAATCATTGTTTGAGCTTAAACAAAGAGGAGAAAATGTGGATTCCTCCACCATTATGAAGGAACAAACCGCAATCTTGGGATTTTCTTTTTGGCAATAAACAGGTACATCCTTAAAATGAGTGATGATGATAATTTTTGGGTTCTACTGCTACATCAATTGGGTCAAGAAAAAGGTTACATTAAAAACAAAAATTGCGCAACAATCTTTGCGTAAAAGGTTTTTTTTTTTTTCCTTTTACTTTAATCTAAAAAGGAAACTTGAAGAAGATTTTGAAGTCTTAAATAAAATAAACTATAGATTTTCAACTTTCTAACCAAGTCCTTTGACCCTCCTCTTAAAACTAGCTTATTAGTGTAACCACTTAATCCATCGTTTTCTTTTGTATACTACGAGTTTAAAATGCTTAAGTAATTTTTGTGTTTTCTTTCTTACTTTTTAAAGAAAAAAAAA